TAATTTATTTTTGTTTTCAACGATCAAAATCATTTATTTTTTAAATCTTCATTCATAAATAATCCTTGCAAAAAATTAGACAAATCAGAATCTATTTAGACATATAATTGTGTACTACAAAGTCAATTGAACATGATACTTCAAAAAAATACTAAAATTTCAATAATTTAATTGAGTTGTCAAATGATATCGAATTTAAGTGATTTTTTGTATAGATGATCTTCAAATGAATATCTACAAAATAAACGGTTTGAATTAATAAAATACAATATATGGTAGGCCTTATAATAATGTCACTCAAATAAATTTATTTGAAGAATCCCTCCACTTAAATTCCTATATATATATATATGTATATATGGTGATGGTTGTTTGTTTATATGGTTTGGTGGTGTTGTGTTGTGGATGGTTTTGGTGTTAAAAAAACGCGGAGAAAACTTGGTTGAAAATGAGAGGCAAAGTAGCCCATTTGTAATTTGTAGAGCCCACACGGCGGGCCGCGCACTCAAGCTAACAGGTTTTTTATAAATTAAAAAGAAGAAGAAGAAGCCGAAGGCATAAAGAAATAGAGACTAAGGCCATGAAAAGAAGTTTATGGTTATTTAGGTTGAGATTTGCTTGTCACGTTTTTGTTTTATTATCAGTCGAAAGCGCATTAGATTAGTATATAATCTTTGGATAAGATCCTCAAATTAATGATGTGTATTTCTTTTTTCCACTAAAAGTTGGTGTCAAAATTCAGAAATTTGGTGTGTGGCGGTTGTATTGTAATGCGATATTAGTTATTCATGTATTTATAATATTAGTAGATATCATTATTGATACATGTCATGATAAATTTCTGAGTGTATAATGGTCACATCGTCACGTGATGTTACTAATTTATATGTTTTAATACGAGTAGACACGAGAGTTGATATTTCAAGGATATAAAGTATAATATTAATACATAGTCACATATTATAACATAAATGAATTAATAACACCATATAAGAATATGAGAATCACAATGAAAAATCACTCATATATCATGATATAAAGCATAAATTAAATCACGTATTATAACACGAGTGATTCGCAACAAAAAATAAAAAAGCTCGTCAAAATATGATGAGAGCATGTTCATAATTAATTGAAAACGTCAAAATGACAAATTTAACCAAAGAACTTCATACCAGTCAACATTTTTTTTTTCCTTCTCATCTTTGGGGTGCTACAGTTGTATAACCTAAAATAAAAAATGAAGAGAAAATAAAAATGATGAATCAGACGGTCGGGATTAAGGCATCGAAGTGACTCCCATGATTTGACTGGCAGCCTTTAGTGCGCCATGTCTGATTTCCATCCAATAAATTCTTGTTATGTTTTGAAGACAAAGGCATCATGACCAGTACGACCGTCCTGATTTGACGTCTACATCACGAGCTGTTCCTCACCTTCCATTACAAGATCAACGGCTCACGTTTTTTTTACTAATTATCGTAATTTACAAGAACACTTTCTTTTAGCGTTTTTGCAAAACATAAAAAACAAAATTCGAAAAATGGCTGATTCGATGCAGATCACGAAATTATTGTAAGTCCTCCCGTACGTAATAATTACGTACTCCGATGACTCACAGTCAGAGAGGGCGTTAAACGTCGAACATGTTGGGTTGGTCGGAGGCCAAGAGGTCACGTGCACCCCCACGCGAGAGTAGAAAGCGACGTCGTATGCCCCCACAAACACAAAAAGCAAAGGGCTTTAAGCTACCGACACGTGGCATTCAGTCCTAGATTCACACAGCCCACAGTTAGGCTGTGTACTTTTGGGCTCATACAAAGTATGCGTTTCGCAGTATCCAACCAGACCAGCCGACCGTGGCTCCATGCACTGCGGTCCCATTGTAATTACTAAATCGCCGGTTTTTTTATTTTTTTTTCTTTTGTGTACAAAAAATATTGTCCGTTAAAAAGACCATATAGTCCAAGTTGAAGGTTAATAAAACTGCTTTGGTTTCAAGCTTGTCAATTTTGGGGGGGTACATTTTCACCAACCCACCTTCAATTCTGCAAATCTTTCAAAATTGCAGCTTACTTATCTGAATCAAATGAAAACCCAAAGAAAAAAGAGAGGAAGATATTGAAAACTTGTACCCTGAAAACAGTACATTTGAATGTAGTCCACGGTTTTGATGTATACATCAAAATCACTTCAATTTATGTAAATTTCTTTTCGGTGTGGTATTGCCGTATTGACCAAAATGACTTATTTCTACGTGAAATAATATATTATAATTTGCATGGCAAACACAAATTTATATATCATTATTTGCAAACATTATGCATTTACATATATTCTGCTCTATAAAGATGTCATTTTCACACTGTTTTTTTGGCCCCGTTTGATAATTATTTCATTTTAAATTTTAAGTTTTTATTTTTTTTGCTAGAGTATAGAGGAAAAAGAGGAAGAACGGAAGTGAGAATGAGAGTGGAGATGAAATTGCAAGGGAAAATGAGAGGGAATGATGTGAGGAGAGGTAGGGCATGTTTATATTACTTGTCATTTCAAAATGAAGAAAAAAAGGATTTTATTGCCCAACTAAGTGGACTAGTAATAGTTCATTTTAGCCATAATATAAGTCTTTGCTTATACATTTGTATTAATATACATAATAAGGAAGAGTTTTGATTGTTATACTCATTCTATTATAATAGAAGCATCTGCTCCAACAAAAAAAATTAGTGTCAACGGTTGTAGATCTATATCATTAAATAAACAATTACACGTGTTGACGATTAGTAAACCCTTATTAGTGAAATGACAATTACTTGCACACTTGTCTGCATTTTTTGTCTTACAAAAATTTATTGAGATATTTTTTTCTTCATGTCTTTAAGATGTCGTATAAGAATTTTTATTTATGAGAATGTTTCTTTCAAAAGAATAGTGATAACATATTTTGAGAATGATGTGATAAGCAACAAAACCACTAATAATGTGATAAGAAAACGTAATCTAACGCTCAAATGAAAAGCCAGATGTATATAATGTGATCAAACTGCATTATCCTTTTAGCATTAATTGATGGAAAACTAGATGTTAGACTCAAATAATGCATAAAATCTTGTATTTTAGTAAACCAGTGTAGTGTTCCAATTGAAGAAGCGACCAAAGGGCATCACGGTCATGAAGTGCAATGTTGGGAGTTGGTGAACCACCCATTGTGGGGAGAAAAATAAACCTGACCGATTTAAACCGATACGGGCGATTATTTGCCGAGTTTTTGAGATTCTTTCAGCGTAGGGATCAAAGAGTAGTAGTACGTATAAAAATCCCATCGCATACACTATTAAAAAGCGGCTCTCCTTTAAGCTGCGAATAGTAGAGCAGTACAACAAGTTCCCTTGAGCTTTGTGTCCTGCTGCTACGCGTTTTGTTCATCTATTAACATCCCGAAACAGAGATCACAAATCCAACGGCTATGGTGCATGGTCTACACAGTCCTTATGGTGAGCTCACCCGCATGAGACTCTCTCGCTCAAGTCCCATTTGGTTTTGGGATGTGTGGACGGCAACAAGAGAGAGAGAGAGATATGAGAGCGCAGACAAGATCATGGGATCTGCATGTTTTTATTGCACAAGCCCTGCAAATATGGATCATGCAAATCCTTTCTCAACTTTTTTCTCTCTTTTTCTTTTGGGAGCAGAGAGTTTTAAAATGATAAAAACAAAACAAAATTGACCAATAGACATCATCTCCCATCCATCAATTTTCTTGGCCTGCTAAAAAGCAACCCAATAATTTACTTATCTCAAAAGCTAAGCCTAACAAAGCAACAAGTGTCTTGCTTATCCAAACACAGCCTAAATTAACACTTACTTAATCAGAGACTTTGACACTAATGCAAACATGTCTTGGGGTTTGTGCTAAACATATCAATTCAAACATAAGGGCAGTGACTTTGGGAGCAAGAATGTGATTTGCAAACAAGAGGGGGATGTTTGGGGCCGTGTGCTAATGAGGCTAAATATTTGGTAGTGAAGAGAGAGTATCTTTAGGGGGAGGTCAGCACAGCACGCTTTGCTTCTTGAGTTGAACAACCTAACGTTTTTTTTAGAGGGCTCTGGTTGCGTGCGTTTTGTTCTAATTTTGTTTCCTGTTTTGGGGTTCTTTGGGTGAAGGGAATCTCTCTGCCCATCTCATCTCTTTATCTCTCTCTCTCTCTCTCTCTCTCTTATTTGTAAGAATCACTCTCAGACAACTGTTCAAAACCCACAAGTCACAAAAGTAGAGAGAGAAAAAGGAAAAAAAAGGAGAGAGAAGAGAGAACCTACTTAAGCGTAGAGCAAATTTAAAAGAGAAAAAGCTAGACATCAATCCCACCCTATCATAGCTCGCTATCCTCTTTGTGCTTTTGGGTTGGTTGGTATTCTACTTGTTTTTCTTTCTTCCTTCCTCCCTCTTGTGGGCTTTTATGTACGTTTGAGCTTTAGCTAGCTCTTCTTGTATGTTGTTTGTTATATTGTGTTTCGGTCTTGGAGTCTTCTTAAGGATTTTCACTGGTTGTGGCGTTTGAAAGTTGGTCCTTGTTTCTTCATCAAGATCCCTTCTGTCTGTTTTCTTTTTGACTCAAACCCATCTCTTTCTGATATCAAGGTGTGTGTGATAGAGAGAACAACTTGTTTTTGCGCACATGAAGATGTTGGCCTTCATAGTTTTGAGCTTTGGCTAAACACTTGTATAAAAGGTACATGACCTTTCTACCTTTCTGTTCCATTTTTTCTCTGTGTTCATGTAGATGTTTGCTTTTGTAGTCCAAGTTTGTTGATTTTTGTACTTTGTTGTTTGTCCCTCAACCCTCTAACTTTTATGTGCCTTTAATTTCTCAGTGAGGTTCTCCAATTTGCCCAGCCACTGATTTCTGGTGTGTGAAAAGTAGAAGAGAGAGAAAAAGATTTGATTTTTACGTTTGGGTTATTTTCCAAACTGTGTATTGTTGTTTATGGTCACTGAGATGGAGGGATGTACACGAAATGAGGAGGCATGTCCACAACTGCTAGATTTGATCCCAAGAGGAAGAGATTGGATTGTGAAAAGAGATGAGAGAAGCCATGGCTCTTCAGAGGAGAAGAAGTTGGAGCTCAGGCTTGGGCCTCCAGGTGAAGACTGGTCTTTGAATGGTAACTCCAGAAGCAACAAAGAAAGAGATGAGTCTCTTCTCTCTCTGGGGTACTTTTCCCCTATGTCTTCCAACAACAACAACAACAACGTAAACCACCACCAAACCCAGAAATTTATTTCTCCCTCAGACAACTCTGTTTTGTCCTCATCTCCATGGTCTTACCAGCTGGGAAATATTCATCAACAGCAGACAAAAGTTCCATCTTTTCTTCACTTCACATCAAGTTCTCAGGGCCTGCCTGTTACCCCCAACAAAGCATCACAGCCCTGTTGCACTAAAGTGGTAGACTTGCAGAATGCAGAAAATAAAGTATTTTCACCAGCTTCTGCAAATACAGCTGTGCCCAACAGCTCTCAGAAAAGGTATCCCAGCTTTTTTTCTCCTTTCTTATGTATTTTTATCTTTTCAGGCAGAGGATATTCACTCACAGGTTCTCATTGCTATAGAGCTATGGACAAAGTGTGGTCCATGCATAACTGCTTCACGTCTTTATGTTTTCTATTGTATCAATCTAGTGGATCTGATTATATTTCTTTTTTTTTCACTTATTTATTCATTTTTGTGAAAGTGTCAAATTATTTCCCTGTTTTATAATTTTTACTGTGACATATAGATTTTTATTACTTTTTGCCGCTTCATCATAATAAATCTGTCCAAGCATACTACCTGTTCTTCCATTTTCATGCAATTTTTTGTTTTTTCTGTTATCATTTCTTATCAAATCTGCTTAAAATATTGCCTCGATATTATCTGTTTCACTTTTCATTATTCATAAGTTCTTGATGTCTTTTATTTCTACTGATGGAAAAATAGTTTCTCTTGAAAGTTTATGATATGCAACTTTAAAAGGTTTTTTCATATTTCTGTCATGCTTTATTTATAACATTTTTTCTTGATATTTTGAATAAATTAATAATTTAACTTTGAAAACCACCGTTCCTACATATCTTAGATTGTATTTGGCCTAATTTTTTCTTTTTTGATGTTCCCCCGAAAAAAAAACCAGAACTGCTCCTGCTCCAGTTGTGGGTTGGCCTCCAATTCGTTCATTTAGGAAGAACCTTGCAAGCAACAGCTCTTCAAAGCCAACATCTGAGTCCCAAAATGTAGTCCCAAACAAGGTTCCTAATGGTAAACAAGTTGAAACCAGCAGAAAAGGTCTATTTGTGAAAATTAATATGGATGGAGTTCCCATTGGAAGAAAAGTAGACCTCAGTGCCTGTGACAGCTATGAAAACCTCTCCTCTGCTGTTGATGAACTCTTCCGTGGCCTTCTGGCAGGTAAATAATTGTCATTCTTAATATAGTTTGTAGTCTGTCTTTTCTAATTCGTGTAATATCTATTTTTCATGCCATATGTATCAACTACGAATTTGATCTGTAGCTAGCCTTTCCATTTATAATGCATAAAGTTGCCTAAACTGCATCTACTTGTTAGACCAAGGATTTGGGGGAGGCAAGCATTTTGGTTTCTCTTCCAATTTGTTTTGATAATTTTCCTGGATTTTTGTGCCTAATGTTTATCATGAAAATGCAACCTCTGTACTTATATAATACTTTTTTCGTCGTTTTCTCTTATGTTTAGCTCAAAGAGATTCCTGTGCTGGTGGAACCCAGAACAAGCAAGAGGAAGAGAAAGAAATTACAGGTTTATTGGATGGAAGTGGGGAATATACTCTAGTATATGAAGATAATGAAGGAGACAGGATGCTTGTTGGGGATGTCCCATGGCAGTAAGCATCGATCTTATCATTGTTGATTTGATGCAAGACTTAGATTATTATTCTTCTTGCTCGTATATTATATTCCAGCACTTGATTTGAGCCTATAACAAATTAATCACACCATTTTATGAAATAATGCAGCATTAGATTCTTAATCTCAAAACAATATGCTTCTCTTTCTTTATGCATAAAAATCATGCATAGTACTGTTTTTGTTTGTTATTTGTTTATGTAACGATTCCCACATCGTAGCATGTCGTCTTTCACCTGAAAAAAATGTAGGATTGTGCCCTGCCATGAGCATAAAACAGTTTTGTATAATTTGGTTCTTGATCTTTTATCTGCAGCATGTTTGTGTCTACTGTGAAGAGGCTGCGTGTGCTGAAGAGCTCTGAACTTTCTGCACTTTGTCGTAAGTTTGATTAAATTATTACTACCTACTGCTTCCTTCCCTGTACTGATTATAATTAAACTAATGATGTTTTGTTTTCAGTTCGTAGCAGCAAACAAGGTAAGATGCCACCAAACTCTGCATTGAAGTGAAGAACGAGGAATTTTAATCTCAAGAATCCCCCACGGAAGTTTGTATTTTGTAGTAGACTTAATCTGTGTGACTTAATCAGAAGTTTTGCTTTTGTAATTTCTCTTTCAAGAAAGGGAAAGAGAGAAAGGAGGAAATTATTAGCTACAACTCAAAAGTGATGCCTTTTGTTTTTGCTGAGAATGCCATTTAATCCTCATGGCTCTTGTAGAAAAAAAGGGAAAGGAAAAAGAAAAAGAAAAGTAGCTCATGTGTTCTGATGGTACATTACTCCATCCATTATGCTTACTTTTTGTTCTGTACTTGAAGGGGATAATTGAACAGAATGCAAATATCAAGAAACCCACTTAGCCCTGTAGCTTTGGATTTGTATGGTGTCAAATGCTTGGATGGATGTCGTTTTCCACATCGCTCTCAAGCTCTTAAATCGGTTGGACCCCCAAAAAAGAAAACCTGTTTTGATTAATTCGGCTACTGTTCTTGCAGAAATTATAGTGTGAAAAAGAATATGCCAATTATGGGAGAAAGACTTTTGTGAAAAGGAATAACACTATTTTGTTGTTCTCTAATAACGTTATAACACATGCGATAACACTTTCAAGTACCATATTATTATTGGTCGGGAATAGCAAAACAATGTTATTCTCGTTTCAACTAAGTTTTTCTCCCATAATGGAGATGGACTTGTATTCTTATCAAGTGGCAATGACTTTTGCTTCAGAAACAAAATAATGACTGTTGTAAGGTAGTCACCTACCTAATTCCCACGAGACTAGGAGACAACTCAGACGAGGGTGATTTTGTTTCTCTCTTTCCTTAAAAGTCTTTTATGTTGTTTGACTGCAAGCAAGATAGAAAAAAGAAAAGCATAAACATCTATTTTAATCCGTGTTGTCAATATTATGCTAACCTATTCCTAACCAGGACATAGAAATCTGGCCAAAACAGAAAAATTAAAAGGGAAAAAGTAAAAAAGAAGACTAGGGCACCATGTAGGTGGCAGTGGAGCTGGTATTGATGAACTTGAATATGAGTACGTAGGTTGCGGTATGCTTTGAAGCCCCACATAAATGCCATTTTGTTTTGCTAAGTTGCTAAAACTACAAATTGAAAGAATGATGGGCAATAAAGCTTGCCACACTTTTGTCGTCTTCTTTTTTGATTCCATCTAAGCAAAGGCACCAATTGTACACTATTCATTGTATTCGGAGGGATTCTTTCGGCTATGGGACCTTGGGTGGGGAGAAAGTAGAAATATGTGTACACCTTTTTAGTTCAAAAGAGTAGACCCAAAAATCCACACTCCTCATTAGACCATCTGATGTGATGCTCCTACATCTCAACACTAATCTTTTGGTCCCTTTCTAAAATGCATATGTACTTATTCCACTTTTAAATTAGTATATCATGATCACAATGCATTAACGGTCAACATGACTACTCATAGCTTAAGAAGAATTGCTAACACGTGAAGAGATAAATATATTAATGATCTAGAGTCATCCACGCACACGGAGACGACTGAAGCGTGTGCTGTTGATGTCGAAAGTTAGAGAACTGTATTTGTTACGCTGGTTGATGAGTAAGATAGTGACTGTCATCAATACGGCTTAATTGTAGGGTTCAGATTCGTTTGGATATTTAGGGTGTGTCATAATCAACGTGGGGGGCATTAGAAAAACTGTCTGGAACGTGAAAAAGAATACGGAGGTTTGGGGAGGATTGAAGGGTCTTTGTCTGTTAAGTGAGAGCTGCCTAACTTTGGGGCGAAAAAAGAGACTGGACATATTCTAAAGGAATTTAGTTTAGAGTGTGGTCGGAGGTCTCTGCTTTTGAGTTTATGGTGAGGAGGATGATAATGTTTTCAGCCTTAGCTGCATTTTTCCTAGAGTCCACCTCATGTACCAAGTTTTTTGCAAGTCACATTACCCAAATTCAAACTTTGCATGGGTAATTCATGTATGAAATTAGGTTTTTGAAGTCGTGCTACACATGTTGATAAGGAGGATTTGAACTTGAGTGCAAGGGATGAACTCACTGTCCTGATTAACTGGCCAAATCCATAGGCGCAATGGTTATAAATTGTTGATGCATATTTATAGGAATTTATTTAGATAACTAATTAGAAACGTGAAAGATATCCCATTGTGAATTTGCGGTGATGGAAGATAAATAAAGAAAGAAGATAGAGAAACATATTGCACTGGATCTGTAGAGTTCTTTCACTTTTTAGCATTGGTAGCCCAAAGAGAAGCCCAAATCAAAACTCAAGAGTGATTTTATGGACTGGTACCCAAATGTTAAAATCCTCCATTTATTTATCCAAAAAAATAACAAAAACATACTCTTCTACAAGCCCATTAAAAAAAAAAAAAACTGGCGTGAGTAGATGTGTTGATAAAATTGCAAGAACTGTTTTGGGGACACCAAATAATGGTATTGCATGCATATATTATATTCACTCTACATTAATGTCCCACTGTTTGGTTCTACTCAAATTCATTAAGTCATTTAAACGTTCACCATTTTGTTTTATTTGATTAATAACAACCCAATACCCTAACGGTGCATGGATTCGATTCTGGGTCTCAATAACTTGAGTTATAAGTCATTTACTAAAATGATGAAATTTTAAAGCGATAGAATTTGCAAAGTTGTAGCCCGACCCAACCCAATGTTAGAGAGGCATTAAGGAGCGTACTTTACCACTTGTTAGGGAGAGGGTACGTAGTGGATCCATCGATTACAATTAGCTCCTCCATGAGCTATACACACATCCAACACACACAACAAAGAGATAGATGGGGGGAGAGAGGCAGCCATGGATTTAGCAACCATAAACATCCTCATGAAAATCTACATTATGCTTGTGCTGCTCCACCGCCACCGCCACCATCACCATCACCAGGATCCCACTTTCGTGCTATTAACTGACGCATATGTGACGAATCCTGGGCTTTAGAATGCCATGGCAGCATGTTGCCCCGCCCCCCTACTCACTGTGACAAATGTTTGAGGAGATCAACACCCAGCTGCCGCCCAGCCACTATCAATGTACAGAGTACTTATAATTTCATTACTAGCATAAGCCAATCAACTGGTCATTCAGGTAGGGTTTTGTTTAACACATGTGTACATATTCGTCTGTCTAATTAATTTATGCACATATTCATGCAATTAAAAAAGGAATGCAAAATTGTTTGTTTTAATTGAAGTAAACCTTTTGTTTTCCTTTGTGTTGTAATGGTAGCTGCAGTTGCTGAGGAAGCGAAGAAACATGTAGGTTCCTGCTACAAGAAGTGCAACCAGCAGTATATTTCTTAAGAACTGGGCCGGCCGGGGTTGAATATATGAACCCTAGCTATATGTTATTAGAATGAAAGAATCTAGGTGTGACGAAATCGAAATGTAACAATTTTGGTTTCGGGCTTGTCCAATATAGATCCCTACATTTTCTATTGCCTAGACATATACCCATCACTCTATAAATCTATGTGTAAAACCCAATTTCAAATTTAAATGACCAGTAGAATATAAGAGGTCATAGTATTTCTAGGTTTTTACATCATTGCCACTAAACTTCATATTTTATTTATAATTTATTTCAAGCATTTCATTAACTTCCATAATTGTAATTAATATACTCCCTATTAATAGCATATCAATCACCCCATTTCTTTTAGTTGTCATTCCCTCTCACATCTCGCCCCCTAAAATTGCAAACAAAAAAAATAATCTGTAAATTACATATCCAATAATGTATCTATGAAAAATATAATATAAATATATACATATAAAATATAGGTATTATTATAAAAAAAAAAAAAAAAAAAAAAAAAAAAAAAAAACAAAGTTAATTTGTAATTGCGTATATTTTTCATAATTAAAAATAGGTACACAATAATTTATATAAAATATAGGTACATTATTTACCCACAGGTAAATTATTTTACATTATACCTGTAAATGTGTATAGGTACATTATTTGGAATAGATAATTATGTACACTTTTCATACTAGGTAAATTATGTTTTTCATAAAACAAACAAGTAATAGGTACATTATTTTTTCAACATAATTAGTATGTACAGTTTTATTCATAAACAATTATAAAGTGGATTATTAGTCATGTATAATTCATAAAAAGAAAATAACATAAACATTTTATTAAACAAACCTATTACCTAAATTTGAATTTATTGTTAAATTTTTTTTAAAATGTTTCAAAATTAATTCCTACATCCATTACAACAATTTGGAGATCTTTTCAAATTCAACATCTGTCATTATATACAATCCAATTAAAAACTGTTTCCATATTGATTCCTACATTAATTTACAAAATGCAACAATGGCTTAGTTGGGGGTATTTTTGGAATATGTAAAGTACAATAAATCAGATTTTATGCTTAATTAGGTAACTTGCTGAGTTGGATCCTAGTCATGAGTTTTTACTTATACAAATTGGGTATTATTTATAGGAACAAAAAGTGAAGGGTTTTAGGTACGGCAAATTGAATTTGAAGGGTGTAAGCCAAATTTACTATAAAATTAAATTAACTTTTGTCTTGAATTTTCTATCTTAAAGGTTCTTTTGTGGTGTTGCATTTCTAATCTCTTCACCAAAATCCTTCATCTAGTCCTTGATCGATTTGTTTCCTTGTCTCCAAGGTGCATCTTCTAAAATTAATCCTTTTGGAGATCACTTTACCAAAAACCAATATGCATTTCCCATGTATAAGGAAACTTAGCAAAAAAGATCCCGGAAAGAACATTATTTAGATTTTAAATACAACATGATAACACGATTTGAACTTGACACAAAATTTGTGGGCTCGATTGATTCGAACCTGATCACAAAAACGATATAAATGGGTTTTGGATTAGTGTTTATTCATTCATATTGATATTAACTTACTTCATGAGCAGAATATGTTTTCTTCCAAATTTTTAGTTCCTGTCATTTCCTCCAGTTATGGGCAGTGGAGTGATTACAATTAGCTCCTCTATAATTTCAAAATCAAAGGGCTAGATTGCCAGGCAAATTAATAATTTCTGTCATTTCCTATAGTTAAGGGTATAATACTTTTAATTATTCATAATGGAATTCCCTAATATAGCTGGCAAATTAGCAAGCTAATTGTACTCAATCGTAATCTCCAATCATATGACAATTATTTCCACATACACATGAATGTCTGTCATGCCAAGAAGATGGACAAATTAAAGGTTTCGTTAGTAAGGCTATAAATAGTGAGCTAGCTTTGTGTTAAACTTCGAACATATATTTGTGACAACATAAGTTATAGAAATCGAGAGGGGCCATAGCCACGGAAGCAACTAGCACCCCCAGCTGGAATATTACTATGATGCTCATGATCAACGTTATGCTTGTGCTGCTTGTTCATGTAGTGCAACCACTTCCACAGGGCCGAATTTAGTCCTCCTCCTCCTCCTCCTCCGCGAAGTCCGAATCCATATCTAAATCCAAATCGACCGCCGCCATCTGGTACTTCATCACGACTTAACACGCGTATATGTTATGAATCCTGTTCCTATGAATGCCGAGGGGAAGTGAGAAAGAATAATTCATCCAATCCCTCTCCAATTCCTCCTGACTTCCCAGACCAACCCATAATTCGTCCCATGGGTTGTGGTGGTTATTGCTATCTCAGATGCTCCCAACAAATGCCGCCAAACCTCTATCAATGTACTGCTGGATGCGCTTATAATTTCATTACTACCACAACCCCAACCCAATCCAATGATGATTCAGGTACGTAATATTATCTACACATGAGCGCTCAAGTGTTAACCATGCACATAGATACAAGTTCTGTTTATTTATTTATTCCAAGTTTTCTATCAGCATCATCAAGTTTTTGTGTCTTCACATGGACCTATGGTATAGTTGCACATGCTGAGAAATTGAAGAAAGATATCGGTTCCTGCTACAAGAAGTGCCAGAAGTATTCTCAAGGACTGTTGGGTTGACATATGATATCATCTCTATAAGAATCAGAGAATAGAGCAGTGGCGAAAATAATGGATGTGACAATTTTGGTGTCCTACATTTTCTTTTCCGAACGTTTGGTCTCTTATTAGTAGTTGTTACCAATAATAACTAGTATATATGAGCCTCCTATCACAAAATCTATATATGTATCTGTCAATAAATCAACGAATTAAACAAATTATATTAGACCATGTTGTTGAGTTGAGTTTTCTATGTTAAATTATTATTTGTTTCGTTTTCATTTTTTTATACAAACAATATCTTAAGATAAATTAGGTACGTACACAGTACTTAAAACATGGTATGTGATTAGAAATAAAAACTAATCATTAAATTTGAACACGTGTCATCTTTTAACTGGACTGTTTTGACACTCATTAGAAACAAAAACTAATCATTAAATTTGAACACATGTCATCTTTTAACTGGATTGTTCTGCCACTCAATAATAAGAACAAGAGTACGTAAGTTTTTGTCATACACACAATTGATGTAAGTTTTGATTTTGTAAGTCTCTTTGTTATAATTAAAGCTAGCTGGTGATGGTATAAGAAGTGAAAAACATGTTCGTTTCCAGCTACAAGAAGTGCAAGAAGTATTCACAAAGACTGTTGGGTTGAGATAGATATGATCCCTGATTGTTGTTAGAATGAAAGAATATATATACAAGTGGCGAAATGGATACGTAATAATTCTGTCTCCTAGAATGTTATATCAACAAACATTCTATATGATATCATAAAAGCTATAGCTATCAAATAAAATCTTTGCTGCTTCTTGCATGGTCCGGGCTCAGTCTTTTTGGTTTTCTCTAATCTTGTTTCTTTCATTCACAGATCACAGATGACTGTAAATAATTCATTGCAGGACAATATCAAAATGACACAAAAACAAGACTCAAAGTTAAGATGGACAAAGATTGTGCCTTAGCAATCTTTATTTCCTACGACAATCAAATTATATATATACGTGCTCATGGGCTAACTTGTTTTCAACATCGAAAAATATACCACAAAAATTCTGAAAATTAAACACACAAACACATAGAGAGAGAGAGAGAGAGAGAGAGAGAGAGAGAGAGAGAGAGAGAGAAGATTGAGATGATACTTCCAGGTGGAATATTATCATGATGCTCATGCTCAACACTATGCTTGTGCTCTTCGTTCATGCAGTGCACTCAATTCCAATCCACCACTACAAACCAAGAGCATTTCGTCCCTACATTACTCGTCCTCCACCTCCTTCCGATGGCGCCGATACTAGTACTGATTTAGAATCGCCGCCACCGCCACTGCCACCACCACCAACACCAAATCCAAATCCAAATTCAAAATCACCGTCTTCGTTGGAAGGCCGCATTCGAAATATTAATCAACTTTTATGTGATGAATCCTGTTCACTTGAATGCTGCCGCCGCTTTGTCTTCAATGATAGCTTATGCCTTCGCGGCCTCCTTCCTGAACCGGGCTTTCCCCGTCCCCAATATATCGCCGGGCGCCGTTCCCCTTATACCTTTTGCAAGTCTGAATGTTACAACAGATGCAACTATGAAATGCCCCCCAACCTCTATCAATGCACTGCTGGATGTGCTTATAACTTCATTACTACTAAATCAGCGGAATTAACACATGATCCAGGTATGCTATATATCACCATTCTATTTGTAAAATATTCATACGAGATTTTTGTTTGTTTATTTATCTACTTATAATTTAGTCATGATTTAAGTTTAATTTTTGTGTTATAATGCTAGCTGCAGATGCTGATGAAGTGCGCAAACATGTTGCTTCCTGCTACAACAACTGCAAGACGTATTCTGAACTATTGTGATCGAGACTGTTAGGTTGAGAGATAAGATCCTATCTATAAGTTGATTTGAATCTAAGAATCGCAGTATTGAATTGGATCCATGTAATAATTACCAACGATAAAAGTCTGTGTTATGATGAGCCTCCGATTGATATAATAAAATTATTTTTTCCCCAATCTATGTGCTGTCCATCAAATGTGACAATGAAATCCAATTATTTTTTTCCCCAATCTATGTGCTGTTTTAATTGTTTGGCCCAAAACATGATTAGTGCTAAACAGTCAAATTCTTATTTTAGTCCAACCTAACAAGTGTTTGATTTGAATCATTATATGGTTTCGTGGCGGGTTAACCAATGTGGTCATATTAATCGTATAATGATGTACACATATTAGCGGATCCACAGAAGTGCAAACAGGTGCAGCTACATATAATATGTTTAAGTGAAAAACATTTCAAATTTGTGGGCTTACAAGGGTATAACGGAAGGGTCCATATATAACACCCTCCCTATAAAATTTCGCGTGGGCTAAAAGTTATAACTTACCTACTTATTTTTGGGCGTGCAAGGTCATTTAAGATTATGGGCTTGCTGTTAATATTGAGGTTTATTTAAAAGCAGGTGCAAATTAAGGGGCTGCTTATTCTACAAAATTAATTTCTGTCGTTTCCTTTTTCCTCAAGTTATGGGTAGTGGAATGATATTCGATTACAATTAGCTCCTCTGTTTCTCAATCCAAGAACCGGGAATTACCAGGAATGATTACAATTATTAGTGGAATTTCCTCCAATTATACACGAATTATGTGCTCATCATCATCGTAATTAATAATTTGTTTCAATATATACACATGACGCAAAATTTGATCTCAATACTCATCATACCAAATTAAGGGTACGTTCTAATTGAGGCTATAAATACAGGACTTGTGTTCAATTGAACATCCAACATATATAGATAAACATTTCTTGAGAGAGATAGAGAGGAGCAGCCATGAACATCATGTTGCTCATGATGAACATTTTTCTTGTGCTTATAGTTCAAGTAGTGCAACCGAATCCAATCCAGTACAACCCTAGACTACTTCGTCCCTTACGTAGTCCTCCTTCTCTTCTCCCCCCACAACCCTAGTACTGATCCTCTAGTACCACCACCTCCCGCACCAGCAGCCCGCTTTCGTGATATTAATTACGAAATATGTGAAAAATCCTGTTCTCTTGAATGTCTCAACGGCTTCCAAATCAATGCTCCTACCGTTCCCTGTCCTGGTTTATTGCTTCCCCCTCATGACTTTTGTATGCATCAGTGTGTGCGGAAACGCAACAGCCAAATGCCCCCAAACCTCTATCAATGTACTGCTGGATGTGCCTATAATTTTGTTACTGCCAATACCCAATTAACTGATCATCACGGAGGTACGTACGTTAAGTAATACATACCAGAATCTATATGTTTTATCATGTTTATTTACATCACAATTCATATATTCATTATAATTTACTCATCACATTTGATTTTGTGTCATAATGCTATGCCAGCTACAGATTCTAATGATAAACATGCGCAACCATGTTGCTTCCTGCTATAGCAAGTGCAAGAAGATTTCTCAAGAGTGATCGAGATTCAAGACTGTGCTATTGGAACCAGAGAATCGCATTATCCAAATGGAAGTACTTTGGGAACAATAAAGAAGAGATGTCCATCTTGTTGTCCCCATGTTAATTAAGGGAAAAGATATGAATTCAATATTGCTGCCTGTAAGTTAGAATGACCTGTATTTTGGGGCAATCATGAACCTTTTTACTTGATTTAATCTCAACTTGTAAACTACTAACCGTATATAAACCTAGTGGATCAAATGCAAAGTACAAAACAAGAAGACACTTGAAAAATGAACCAAGAGAAAGAAATCAAAGTGGAACTAGCTCTGTATTAATAATGAAATCAGTACAGCCACCAAGAAAAGAATGTACAGAATGATGAGGTATCATACTAATCCATGAAAAAGCTTTAAGCTGCACCAGTTATAGCAACATTTGATGGTTTTGGGCACACAGTGGTTGGAAGAATCACAGGTTTTGAGTCCCCAGGGTACAGGACTGCCAAGGGAAGAATCTCCTCTGCATCCCCAGGTTTTGAACCTTCTGCCTTTTCACAATTCTCAGAGGATGGCACTGCAGAGACTTGCTTCTTTAATGGCTCAACTTTGACCTCTCCAAACCCATCAAGTTTGGTCACAAAAGGGTGGTTCAATAGCTTAGCAGCTTCCAACCTCTCAGAAGGGTTCCTCACAAAGCACTTTCGCAAGAAATCTTTAGCATCTTCTGATAGCCAGCCAGGAACAGTGGGAACTTTTGAAGCAATCAGAAGCTGTAGGTCTCCAAGTGTCGCGCCGGCTTTCAAATCCCACGGCCACCTCCCCGTTAACATCTCGAGCACAACACAACCCAAGGCCCAAATATCAGAAGGCTTCTCCTGATTTCCATAAAGCACGGCTTCTGGTGAAAAATATATTGCAGTGCCTTGACAAGCAGGTTCTTTGCGACTCTTTTTTTTATAAACAGCAAACTTTGCCAGTCCAAAGTCCCCAATCTTGGGCACAAAATCACCATCACTGTTACTCACAAGCAATATATTTTCAGGCTTCAGATCACAGTGGACACAGCCCCTTACATGAATGTACTGAAGCCCTTTCAGAAGACACCCTGTATACTTTCTTACTTGGGACTCAAGCAACCCGAAACGCCCGGATTTTGTTATCAAATCCCTCATTGTTCCTCCATCAGCATACTCCATTAACACATTGTATGTGCATTTGTTTTCAGCATCAGAAGTCATATCTGATCCATAACAGTCGATAACAAAAGGGCAGTAGCCAAAAAATTTAAGAAGTGTCCTTTCCATGAGCAGCTCAGGCGATTCAAAGACCCGTCCCGATTTCGCCGCCATAATCGCCGGCAAACCCTCGCTACCCAACTTGGGTTTTTTCGCAGAGGCCAAATAAACCGACCCGAATCCACCTTTGCCAAGCATCCGCCCTCGAACCCACTCACACTCAGGAAGTGACAAACTCCTTTCTTTCTTAACAAGCTCTGGTTCGTCTTCCTTTTGGGTTTCTCTTTTCCTCTTCGATGAACCCATTGTTCTTGTAGTTTGTGAAAACAAAATTAAATCTTTTGGCTTCTGGGTTTTGATAAAAACAAAGGGACAGACAGAGAAAACGATCAACTGGGTAAAGAGCAAAAGAGATGAACTGATTGATGTTGAAGAAGCAGAGAAGTGGGTGATCCACGAAGAAGACGATATAAGAGAAATTGAAGCAAGCAAAGCGTTTAGGGTTTTATATTGCTTAAATTTGACGCGTTGATTGAAAGCTCGTGACTTTGTGTGAGGGTTTATGAAATCTGATTTTCCCTTTTAATGGTGGAGTTGGGTTTCATTTTTCCATTATATAGAGATAAGGGTTGAAGGCGGTGAGCACTCTAACGGTCATATTTTCGTTTCGCGGCCTTTCCCTGCGCCCTAATTAACAATCTTATAAAAGATTTTTTTTATTGTTGTTATTATTTTATTTTGTGAAATCTGGGCCGTTGGTTTAGTATCATCTGGACCGCTGAAGGCATAAACCGTTTTACTTTTTGTTTATAATACCTTGCTTTTTCTACTTTCTCTTTTATTAAATGGCTGAGTTTAGTGTCACATTTTATTATAACGCAAAAAAAAAAAAAAAAAAAAAAAGGATTTCCGTTTTTTATCTAATTTTTAATTTTTGGACAGAGAAAAGTTATTTTTTACTCATTTCTTAATCCTTATTTATTTTTTTTAATGTATAACGATAACACCACATGACATGTTGAAATGGACTATATTTTCATCTTAACTTATTAATTTATTGTATTGAGAATGATAACATGATAGGATAAAGTTGAATTTGTTATTTCCATCCTTAGTTTATTTTATTTCCTAGACGAGACCTTGTCGAGGTAAATAGTCCTAATACATTTTGAAGAATAATTTCCATTTTAGAAGAAAATATATAAATATAAAATACCTAAAGAGTTTTGGTTTGACAAAAAATAGTAATTGTCATACTTACACACGACCTTCTAACCATGGTGTGAACCACCATGATTATGTTCTTCAATTTATTTTAGCTAAAAAGAAATCGAACAATTAACAATCAATGAGGATAGAACGGGAAGGTTAGGAATTTTTTGTGAGGATATATGGGTGTGGTGAGAAAAAGAACTGGGTGCAATTCGATCCGTATAGAAACATCGCAACTCCAGCCTCGTCTCTCTTGTCTCCGATGTCCTCATTGTCCTCCTCTGCTCGCTCCCCATTCTCGGCCTTCTCTTTCGCCAGATGAACTTCTCATAAGTCAAAATTCCCCATTTTCCTTTGCGCCCTTGTTTTGTCTGCCCAGAAAATGCTGGAAAGCGACCGCTTTTCTTTCTGTTTTTGGTTTATTTTTTTGGGTTTTGAGGAATTTGGGTTTCTAAAGTCTTGTTATTGGGTTATTGGGTCAATTTGGAGTCTGGTTTTATCTGATGATGGTTGAAAATTGAATACAAATTTGTTGTGCTTTAATTGAGTTTGATTAAGAATGATCTTGAGAAATTTGGGTTTTGTTTAGATTTTGATAGGCTCTTTAACTCTCTAGGGTTGTCTTGAATGGATGCATTGGAATTGAAATAGGTTACGGGGGTTGAAGAAAAATTGGAGTTGTTACCGTGATAGATGAACTGAGAATTTGTGGTTCTTTGTTTCAAATTATAATTGTGTGGATGGTATTGTTTGATAAGCGGTTTCTGTGTCATATTATGAATTTATAGATTTGATACGATTGTAGTGGTGAATGGTGATCTTTGTGTTGAAGTATCTAGTTTTATTGTTGACTAGGGTACCTGTCGATCCACTCGAGTGGCAGATTTCACAGGACATTGCTAATAGCATTGTTGCATGGTTAGCCAATACCATAGGAGCAGCTGAGTCTGTATTGAGGGTTCCAGCCATAGGGCATGACAAGAGGTTCTTTTTCAAGGTAATAATGCTTGATGACTGCAATGGATTTTTGTTTTGGTATCAAGCTTTTGCACAGTCTCTATTACTTGGTGGCTATGGATGAAAATTTTCAACGGCTAACATGTAGACATAAGCTTCTGCGAGCTTTAAGTATCAAGGAGAGGTGCTAATACATGTCTTAAGAATTATAAAGTGGCCCAAGTCAGGACATATTTTGAACTTTGATATTGTAGAAATTTGGATTTCTTTTGGTATTGAGCTCCATATGCATGTTGTTATGTGTGCACTTGTGTTTTCATGCTTGCATTTGTCTTTTTCACTGGGAAGACTTGGATGCCACTTCGAGGGCACTCCATAATGCACCTTCTCTTCTACTGCATAGTATTTTAGAAGAAAAGAATGGAAGCTAAAATGTACTTGTAATAACAGTCCACAAGATAAAAAAAAATATCTTTGTAGCTGATTTGTAGCTTCGCTATAGTAGAAAATTAACTTTTTGCACTGAGTAGACAGCCCTCACTATATTTTTCTAGCTATAAATTCTAAATTCTAATCATCAAACTTTTGACCTGAGTAAAGGCATCTTGCGGTCCCATGGCAGGTCCTTTGGCTGACAGGCCATCATGTACTTCTGTGCTAGTCTATCAAATTGATTTTTATTTTCCTTCCTTGGCGATGGTTGTAGATGTAGCTTATCAGTATCGTGATAGCATGTTATCACGTAGAATAAAGCTATGCAAATTTGTTAACCATAAGTAGTTCTTGCAGACAGCTAACCCGATAACTTCTCATTTAAATCCTTCTCCAGGTGGTGTTTTGTCTTTACATGCTATCAGCTTTGGGACGGTTGGTGTCAGGTCTTACAGTTGCCTATGCTGCTATGTTTTTTGCTTAAATCTGTTACCTCTTCGTAGCTGAGATTGTTTTCGTAGTTTGGTATTTTAAGATAAAAAGCAGGGTGGCAACTTATGTGTTGTTTTTTCAGATTCAGTAGCCACTGTCTTATTTGCCATTTGCTTTTGTTTTGTTTTTTTATTGATGCAAAGTCTTTCACTATTTGAATACATTCATGTAAATTTTCCTTTTTGGCCTGACTTGTATCTTTGTTTTAAACATCACATATATATAACTTTCCTAGAATCTGTCTGCTCCTGAAACAGGATTATGCTTGTTTTACCTTTATATGTTAGCTGAGATCAGTCGGTCAATCAGTGCATGTTTGTCTTGATTTCTGAGGAGAACGAATGATCTAGCGGAGGAAGATGCTGCAGAGCAAGATACTATGTAGCTTAAGTTTTATGTAACCTCCATGTACAATGAATCTTTGTATATTTTTGTGCGGTTGTATTTCGAGCTACTCATAGTTTCTGTGTACATACGACTTTGTGCCTGACCCCTCTTGGGGTGGTACAATATTGTTAACCAAGACATACAATTTTACGATACAAATTGTTGAATAATTGATACCATTGCTGAATAAATGCTGGTCATTAGTTTTTGCTACAACCTTTGTGCTGAAATTGTTGATTAGAATTTTTACTGACTTGAAATGAAAAATCGGAAAAATGAAAGTCCAAAGAAAAACTATGTTTCTTCAACAGTGCTCTGTTTTACCATGAACAAGTTATACTTTGGATAAATTTGGAAACAAAAAAGGTAATGTTGTTGTCCCTATGCTGATTAAGGAAAAAGATATACATCTATTATTGCTGTCGACAGGCCTTTGACTAGCTTGATAAGTTAGATTCCCCTGTATTTTGGGGCAAGCATGCACATTTTACTTTTTACTGATTTAATCCCAACTTGTAAACTACTGGTCAAATGCAATGATTAGCGAGATAATCTACGTCAGTAAAACAGTAACACCAACACACATTAGGAAAAGAGATCAAAGTGGAACTATTAGCTCTCTATATTAACATAAAAACTATACAGCCGCCAAGAAATGAATATACATATCAAGCCTTACATCAATTCATGGAAGGCTTTCAAAACAATATAAACTAAGCTGCACCCAATATTGGAAAAGCTGATGGCTTTTGGCACCCAGTGGTTGGGATCACAGGGGTTGAATCTCTAGGAGACATGAGGGCCAAAGGAAGAATCTGTTGCTCCATCTCCTCTTCCTCTTCAGAGCTCCAACTTCCAAGTGGTATAAAACTACCATAATCAATAACACAGTGCTCAGAAGATAACACTGAAGAAACTTCCTTTATTGGTTCAACTTTAACCTGTCCAATCTCATCAACTTTAGTCACTAAGGGATGGTGCAATAGCTTAGCTGCTCTGAGCCTCTGTGAAGGGTCCTTCACAAAGCAATTCTTCAAGAAATCTTTCGCCTCTTCTGATAACCCACCAGGAATGTTAGGAATTCCAGAAGCAATCTGAGGCTTTAGGTCATGAAGTTTCACGCCGGCTTTTGTATCCCATGGATGCCTCCCAGTGAGCATCTTCAGCACAACACAGCCCAATACCCAAATATCAGAAGGCTTCTCCTGAATTCTATCGAGCACTGTTTCAGGAGGTAAGTACATTGGAGTGCCTCTACAAGAACGCTTGCTCATAGCCCTCTTTGTCAGACCAAAGTCCCCAATTTTGGGCACAAAACCAGAACCAGAGGTCACAAGTAAGATGTTTTCAGGCTTCAAATCACAGTGCACAAAACCCATTTCATGAATGTACTGAACCCCTTTCAAAATCGACTCTGTATACTTCCTCACTTGTAATTCACAGAGCCCCGAGCCCCCAGATTGCTTTATCAAATCCCTCACTGTTCCTCCATCAGCATACTCCAAGAAGACATTGTATACCAAATTATGACCAAACCCAGCAGTCACATCTTCTCCATAACAGTCGATAACAAAAGGGCTGCTACGAAGCGTTTGAAGAAGTGACTTTTCCATCATCAGCTCAAGCGATTCAACCATCAATGCCGATTTCACCGCCATGATCGCCGGAAAACCCTCGCTACCCAATTTGGGTTTTTTCACAGAGGCCAAATAAACCGACCCAAATCCGCCTTGGCCAAGCTTCCGCCCTCGAACCCACGAGCCACACCCAGTAAGTAAAAAACTCTTCTCTAAAAGCCCTGGTTCGTCTTCCTTCTGGGTTTCTCTTTTCCTCTTCAATGAATCCATTGTTTTTTGTACTTTGTAGAAACAAAAATTGAAGCTTTTGATTCTGGGTCTGACAGAAACAAGTTAACGGAGAAAACGATCAAATGGGAAAGAGAAAAAGAGACGAAGCAGAGAAGTGGGTGATCAACGAAGGAGACGATATCATTGAAACAGAGAAGAGTGATCGAAGCGAACGTTTTAGGGTTTTCTATCTGCGTAACTTTGACGCGGTGATTGAAGCTCGTGATTTTGGAGAAAACGATCAAATTGAAATGGGTAAGAGAAAAAGAGACGAAACAGAGAAAGTGGGTGATCAACGAAGACGACGACAGCGTTGATACGGAGAGAGATCGAAACGAACTTTTTAGAGTTTTCTCTCTGCTTAATTTTGACGCGGTGAAAGTTTTTGTGAGGGTTCTTGAAATCTGAGTTTGCTTTTTCCTGGTGTGGTGTTTGGGTTTCCTCTTTCTATTACATAGAGAAAGCGAAGGAGGAGGTGAGCGTTCTAACGGTCATATTTTCTTTCGCGGCCTTTCCTTGCGCTCTAATTAACAAATCTAATTAAAAGATTCTCTCAACAAAAAAATCAAATAAAAAGATTTTATTTTATGAGATGTAATAAATGACTGACTGCTACCAATTTGAAATCTTAGGTCACTCTTAGCTGGAAACATCTCGGCCGTTGGTTAAATATTATCTAACCTGTGGAAAGCATAATCTCGTTCTTTTTTAAAAAAATAAATAAAAAAATAAATTTATTGTCTCTTTTATTAAATGACTGAGCTTAGTTTACACCCACATTTTATTATGACAAACATAAAAAATGATTTTTCCTTTTATATTTTCTTTCGCTCTTGATTAAACTTATTTTCATTTTTTATGTGTGACGGTAACACCACGTGACATGTTGACATGAATTGTGTTCTCATCTTAACTTTTTAATTTATTGTGTTGAGAATGACAACCTCATAGGATAAAGTTGAATTTGTTATTTCCACCCTATCTCATTTTCTTTCCTAAGCGAACTCATCAAGGTAAATAGTCCTAGTAAATTTTAAGGAATAATTTCCATTTTAGAAGAAAAAGCCTTTGTTTTTCATTGATACATAGTCTTTCACTATTTGAATACATTCATGGAAATTTTCCTCCTAGTAGAGTTTGTAACAATCAATATTGAATCAATAAATTTGAGGCTTAACTTACGTTTTTTTGGTCCCCGTAGTTTGACTCATTTTTCATAAAAAACTGGATTGGACGAGAGGGCTATAGCTTATAGATTGTCACAAAACAAGACAGAATATATACATGAAGATCAAACAAGCGCTGTCAAAGCCAGGCAAGTTCACCTGCTGTAACATCAAGAGCCCTAGTTCTTTGAACACTAGGATACAGGACTTTGAACTAGTAGTTTGTTTCTTTGAGCACTAGGATACAGGACTTGAGCCTAAAAATATAACAAATACTTGTAATATGCAAGATTTTACAGTCCATCATGTTTACCTTTGTAAGACTGTCTCTAACATACTTACACGGAGAGACAAATAATCCTATAGATATATATTGAATACACAGTGCAGCTCACCCAAGTTTTTGAGATCAAATTCTTTTGCCAAGGCAGACAAAAACAGTAGAGAATAGAGGTAACAGCAGAATCACTTCTAATCCATATTATGTCATCAAAGTAAAGAAGAATAATAACCACTGAGCCATTACAGTACCTGACAAACAAAGAAGATTATGCATATGATACTTTAAAGAGCCTATTGCGGGAAGAAAAGTGGTATATCTCTCGTTCCAAACTCTTGATTCCTTCGTAAAACCATACAAGGATTTCTGTAATCTACACATATAATCAGTATGTCTAGCTATGGTGCCGTCCGCAATCCTTATATATACCAAACCAGATGTTCCATGCTTATCTTATGTTATGCAGCAATTTCTGCTTTCATAGCATTCTGCCAAGCTGGAGCTTTAGAAGCTGAAGAAAAGGCGAAAGATCAACATACAAAGAAGAAGAAAAAATTGAGCTCTCAAATTGATCTCTCTTCAATGTCTGCTTTGGAGATATCGAAACTAGCAAATTAATATATATAAAGTATAAACAAATGCAACTAGAAAGGTCAGGTTTTTTATTATAAAATAAATAGTATAGCCGAGTGGCTATACGCTTTATTTTAAAAAAACAGAGTAGACGCACAACGTTAGGTGCCACGTGTGAAAATAAGTATAGCCGCTATACAATTTTTGAAGAAACATTAATAAAACCGGGTATAGCCGTGCAGCTATACTGTTTTTACACATGAGGCGTCAGGTGAGTTTTTAAAAATATATATAAATAGCATCGCCGGTCGGCTATACCCAGTTTTTTAATTGTTTAAAAAAAAATAGTATAGCCGTACGGCTATACGAATTTCGACACATGGGCGCTAATCGCTGGGCACGTCTTCTTTTGTTTTTCATGAATAGTATCGCCGCATGGCTATACTCGGGATTTTATTATTTAAAAAGAAGAGTATAGCCGAACGGCTTTACCGGCGTCGTTTCTTTTTAATTTCTTTTAATAAATAGTATAGCCGACCGGCTATAAGTTTTTTGACACGTAGGCGCTAGTGGGTCTTTTTTAATAAATAAATAGTATAGCCGCACGGCTATACAGCTTTTAAATATAATATAGTTGAAGGGTATAGCCGGCTATACGCTTTTTTGACACGCGGGCGCTAGGCTTGTTCTTTTAAAAATAAAAATAAAAATAGTATAGCCGCGCGGACATACGGGGTAATGGGTTTTTTTTAAAAAAAGAAGAAGAGTATAGCCGGACGGCTTTACGGGGGTCCTTTTTTTGTTTTTTATAAAGTGTTTATGGTTTAGTTTTTTTTTGAATTTGGTGTGTATTATGGTGCCATCCGCAAATACCAAAGTTCATGTTCCCTGCTTATGCTATTCATCATAGCCACAACTTCTTTAGAAGCTGAAGATAAGGCGACAGATCAACATCAGCAGAATCTGTGACAACTGATGTTAAGGCTTTCGTTTCACTGATTCCAGACTTGGATCTGGTTTGAATTTGGTGTGAATTACTTGGAAATGATTGGTAAAATATTTGTAAGTTCTCTGGTTGAAAAGCTAAAGAGGTAATGATGAAGGATCTAAAGGAACTGATTGACTGGGAATAAAAGAAACAGATGTCTCAAAACAATCTGACAAGGAGACTTAAGACAAATATAGCCCATATACTGAGAAGCATATCCAAGAAAAACTCATGTTCTGGTTTTGTTTATTGTAGCTTGATGGTTTTATAAGTTCAGGCAAAGGAAAGTATGCACAACTATGACCCAAAAGAGATTAATTTCATATGGTGATTTCAAACTCAGATTTTTGCACGGCATTTTTATTTATCAAATATACAGATGCAGCACAAGCATTATACCAGAACTTTGAAGTAAAAAGTAAAAAGATAGAAATTCCGTCGTAGCATAGAAAATAAGATTTTATTATTCAATTCATGATTTGACAACTAGCCTTCATGTGTTTCAATCCCATCAATGTTATTATTCTGAGTGCATTTCTGTCAAACGTTTTCTCTTATTCATGATGATGAAAGGGAAATAGAAATATCTAATTATTTATTTTTATCCTTGGCCTGCAACGGTGGTAGCAGAAATCCAATTGGCCCTTGATGCTTTTCTCAGCAACTGTCACTGGAGGAATTGAGTGAATATACATACCAAAAGCAGGGTCAGAAAGGGTGGGTATGTTCTTTATGCAGTCAATTAGACAATTTTTGAGATACTTTGAGCCTTCATTAATCTTGCATTTAGAAGGGCAGGCATCCAGGCAAACCCTTCTTCTCCAAATCATCTTATTGTCATTAAATTTGACGCAATTGACCTGGCAGCTTCTCAGGCATGAGTTGTCTATTGGAGGAAAATTGGATTTAGGTGGTGATTTTCGGACAGGTGCAAGAGGACTTGGGATTTGATGAGAAGGTGGCATTTTTTTGACAGGAGGAGGTGAGTTTTTGAAAGGTGTGACATCAGAAAATGAATCATCAAAAAAGTTAGGGTCAACAGATTGGCCCATAACAACCGCAACCATCATGAACATCATAGCCACAACTCCTATATTACTTCCCTTCATGTCCATAGCTATAGCTTTAATCTCAGAGTCTCTCTCTCTCTCTCTCTCTCTCTCATGTCTTTAACACACTTCACTGGAAATTTTGTGTGGTGAGTTTGGTTTTGTACACATTGACCCTATTTATAGGATTGGAAACCCAATTGTCATATTGCATGAGATTGATGTCTAGTTCATTGTGATGAGCACAAGTTTATAATGTTGATGGATTATTGAAAGCACAGAAGGGGATTAATGCATGGTTGCAGCTCAATCAAAGGATAACAAGAACATAACAGTAGGCTTTTAATTACGTTCAATTATTTATATACCAATTTAAGATTAATTTGTCACAAATTATCTGGCTACTTAATCAAAGGGACAAATGAAACATGTTCTACAACACTGGATGAACAAACTACATAAAACAAGGTTTGTTTAGGCACCGATCTAATTCGCCAATTTCCTTAGAGGAATTTTGAATAATGGTTCATTGTTCTGATTAAGCTCTAATCTATTCACATAACGGTTTCAAGGCTTGTAATCTGTAAACTTAATTGAATCATTTCACAAAGGATTAGGGGTGTCAGTTTCAATTTCTATATGTATCACCAGTCAGACTCAATTAAAAACATAAACCGTATCATGTTTTTTGTAATTTTTTTTAGGCCAACGCATAACAAAGGATTAAGGAGATAATCTATCCCAGAGTGTAGGCTGTTAGGTCTACAATCAACAGAAATCAACAAAAATCAGGGAATAATTAACGAAAATCAATCCAAGTCAAGACATCATTACAAATCAATTAAGGAAGTTTTTTTCTTTTCCTTTATATAATTTAGCTAAATTAGCGAGCTGCTAATTAAGATGGACAAAGGGTACAGAGGCTATAAATAGTATGTTTCTGTGCTCAACATTCGAACATGCAGAACAAAAGTTCTGATAGTTAAAAGATAGAGAGATCGAGTGGGGGATTGGGCAGCCATGGAAGCAACTAGCTATAGAACCATCACTTCTTCCATGATCAAAATCATGATGGTGATTATGATGATCATTTTGGTTAATGTTCAAGCCGATGATCATCAAGATTATCTAATCAACATCCCTTCCAACACAGTCACTCCAGATGACAATGCTCACGTTGAAGATCAAACAGCAGCAAGTCCACCGCCACCAAACTCATTCATTGGTGATGTAGGTCGTTGTGCTTCTGAGTGTGCAGCTATGTGCGGCCGCCGCCACGGCATCACCACGGGTTCAGCTTCAACCGACCGGTTCTTCTTTCCTCGCATTCCGGGTTTTATCAAACCCCCCCGCATTCGCAGACCTGGCCGTGTTCGCAAACCCCGAAGACCCGGTGGCAGAGGCAGAGCACACATCGGGGATTGTTACAAGGACTGTTTGCTAGACTGCGGCCTACAAGCCCCGAGCAGCCTATCTCAATGCACTGCTGGATGTGCTTATAATTCTGTTGCTGCTACTGCATCAACCCTATTAACTGAGGATAAAGTGCAGAACTATGTTGATTCCTGCTACAAAGAGTGCCAGAAGAATAATTAGGTGTTGCTAATTACTAGTCATTTCCGCTTTTGTGATCAATGTGTTGATGAAAGAGTTTGCAGATTTATTAGAATAAAATAATTTATTTAATAGTATCGTTAAGGATCCACCGGTGTGTATTCATTTAAGTTTGCAGACCGGGCAATTCGTGTCCACAGGTCGTGTTCAGGATCAACACTTGTTCGATGTCAACACGATTATGATTTGATTTATGAACATGGTGCAACCCATTTCAAAATTCTAAGTTGATAATTCGTGTTCACGCATTGAATTCTACACAGATCTAACACGAACATGATTAATTAAAATCAATTTAAACACAACAATATTAGTAATTTTGTGATTTTTTTCAAACACAACAATTTTATATTTGAAAATTGAAGCAAACTTGTTAAATATTTCTTACTCCTTATAATTCCATGCAGCAAACATTCAACATTCTATCAAAGACTCTTTTGACTTTATATATGCAGAGGAGCACAGTGATAACCCGTTAGTGTATTTAATATGATGCTTTGTTTGAGCACACCCACAATGTCATCTCATGATCAAGACCATTTCCTTTTTAGGTAATACATTCAAGTATCAAATGACCTTGCAAAAAATAATTGTCCACATTAGACAATATTTAGTCATCCTTATAAATGAAATATGCCTACCATTTGATTGCTTAAGTTGCTTGAGGAAGATGTAAACAATTATATTGATGGATGAAATATGTCTACCGTCAACAACAAAAAGAAGACAACATTTGGTCATCTATCTAGGATCAGATAAACAAATAAAAAAGATATTTCCTATGAACAATTGAAATATATTTATGATAATAATCAAATGGTTAAATGATTTCTAATTAGCTATTTTTTTGGGAGAGATATTCCTTGAATGACGACCTAAAAAATGAATGATTTGAATCATGAGATGACATTGTACAATAGGCCCAAAAAAGTGATTAATGTTGTATTAACTTACTAACTGGTTAATAATCTTGCCACTTTACTCAAATAATATAAGTGACTTTATGATAGTTTCTTTTCTCGATGATTTCATTTTGTACACGTAACACATTGCCCTTTTTAAGGATTTGAACTTGCCCCTAATTGGGAGCCCTTGTCAGTAGTACTTGTTATGCATGAAATGTGTGACCATTATGTGCTCATGGTCATGGTTGTGTAATTAGACTAAAGAAAGCCCATATAAAGTTGATTCCTAATTATATTGTTGAATTGCTGATTGATTGATCATTTTATAGTGTTACTATATATACAAATAAAATGCCAAAATTTAGTTCCTATCTTACTAAATTCTGTTGATCAGGGACACAATCATAGCCATTAGAGAGAAAAATAAAGATTCAAAATACGGGAATTAATGCATGCATTAGAGTTCAATCAGTTATCTCATCCATAATCTCACTAATTATCTGATCGATCGCCAGATATTAATCCTTCAGTTGAGGGGCTGATCGAATGGTGTTTTCATCAATTACCTAATCGACTGATATAACCAAAGGAATTCATTAAGAGGTGTCAATGTTTCATTGGATGACAGCCAGCATGATGGCAGGAACCAAATTCAATTTTCCTATCAAAGGGCGGCAATGCATGGATGCAAGAGAACAATCGGAACATTGGCAGTTTATAATTGATTCTAAATGCAAGCAACGATCTCCAAAATTTGCTCTCATTTGGCATTCACTCACAGAAATCTATTAATGGAAAATTCTGATAGTAAACTGCAAGGCCAAGGCTATAAATAGTGGGCTGGTTGTGTTCATCGATCATCATATCCAAAGTACATTGCGATCTACACTTGGAGAGGGAGAGATCGGTGATGGTGACCATGATGAATATTATGGTCCTTTTGCTAGCAGTAGCAGCAAGCCTAGGGTTTGTAGTTGAAGCTCAAGTAGGTCTTCCACCTCCTCCTATCCCTGGCCTCCCTCCTCCTATCATCCCACCAGCCTTTCCAAACCCTAGCATTCCTGGTCTCCTCCCTCCTATCACTCCATCAGGCCTTCCTGTTCTCCCTCCTCCTATCACTCCACCAGGCCTTCCTAACCCTTATCTTCCCGGTCTCACTCCACCTGGCTTTCCTAACCCTTATCTTCCCAGTCTCACTCCACCTGGCTTTCCTAACCCTAATCTTCCAGGTCTCACTCCACCAGCCTTTCCTAACCCTAATCTTCCAGGTCTCACTCCACCAGCCTTTCCTAACCCTAATCTTCCCGGTCTCACTCCACCAGCCTTTCCTAACCCATTAATCCCTGGCCTCTCTCCTCCAACTACTCCTAGTGCACCAGTTCCAAGCCCTCCTCCTTATTTTAATCCTTTGGATCCAAACATTCCACTCCCTCCATATAGTCCTCAACCATCACCTTCTGTTGAAGCTCCTGCCAACAGTCCTCAACTTTCAACTTTTACACTCCCACCAGAACTTTATAAAAACATAGGAAAAGCACCACCCTTTGTTGTAGCACCCAATACTCCTCTACCACCGGGTGTTGTTATACCACCACCACCACCCCTAAACACTCCACCGCCACCTGGTTGGTCGGCTGAAAAGATCGCCCTTAAAAACGGCATTTGTGGTGTTTCCTGCGCTTACGAATGCCAAGCCCCCGCCGTCTGGAGCATTCCCACAGCAAAAAATACCAATGGGTTTTTCCGTGGACGCGGCGGCGGTGGCGGAGGCGGAGGCTTTTTCCGTCCAGTCCGTCCTGTCCGTCCTGTTACTCCCGTCCCCGTTCCCGTTACTCCTGTCCCCGTTATCCCTTCACCCGTTATCCGCCCTCCCCCCATCCCTACTCCAACCAAACCAAATCCACCCTCACCGCCTAGTCCCGTTGCTCCAGCCAAACCGAATCCCCCACCCAATCCTCCCACCGGTCTATCTCCACCCTCACCGCCTAGTCCCGCTGCTCCTGCCAAACCGAATCCCCCACCCTCTCCTCCCACCGGTCCATCTCCACCCGGTTCTCCCACCGGTCCATCTCCACCCAGTGCTCCTGCTAGTCCATCTCCACCTGGTTCTCCGGCTAGTCCATCTGCACCTGGTTCTCCAGCCAGTCCAGCCAAACCCGGTCCTCCGGCTAGTCCATCGCCACCCGGTTCTCCCTCCGCTCCATCGCCACCTGGTTCTCCCGCCGCTCCATCTTCACCAGGTACTCCTGTCACACCAGTGACACCTGCGAGTCCCGTGGATCCAGTTCATCCTGTGGACCCCAATCACCCCGTACCCGGTTACCGTTACTCAAGAAAACGGGGTATGAATCAAGCAGGTTGTGTCGCTGCGTGTATTCTCCAATGCAACCAGGAATATTTACTTAGTCTCGTTCCTTGATCTGTGTCTCTCATTTTCGGTCCAATTAACTCATCATTCTTCAGGTATTTATTTCACATCATCACATGATTTACATTTTTTGTATATTACCATTTATTTGATTTGATTTGATTCCTCACCATGTTTAATTAGTTTTGTGGTTTACAAATGCAGATGCTGGTCGATCAAGTATTCAATAACGACCTTGTTGCAGCAGCTGATGCTAATCATCAAGTTTTTGATCCTTCGAGTCAGAATAAAACATGTATCTGCGTACTAGCATGATTCATGAATCTCATGTAATCAATCACAATAAGAATTCCTATCTTTCTCATATGTATGTGTTCTGTGATTTTGTTTTTTACTTTTTTATTGTATCAAAAGAATTCAATAAATAACGAGAAAATCTCATGAAGGTTCTTACCTTTTAACTAAAAGTTTGCCTAATCTAGCAGCAAACCAAGCACAGAACTGAGTCTAACCTTTTTGGCTTTACAATCACCGTCACCAACTAAGCCAAAACTACCCGCAATTATTTACAGAAAAGAGTATCAATTCTCGTATATTTATTGCATCAATCACATGATAATTACCTCACCAAAAAAAAAAAAAAAAAAAAAAAAAAACAATATTCAAATCAATGAAGCTTTTGGACACTATCAACCTTTTTATTGGACTCAATAACGCACACTAATCAAAGACCAAAATGAAAGTGATGCTGAGATTGAGAGAGGATGATGGGAGGGAGAGAAGTAACAAAAGTGAAAACCAACAATTTCAAATGTATTTCAGTTTTTAGTTTTTGTTTTCACTTCTGTTACTTCTCCATCCTCTCCTCTCATCTTCCCTCTCAATCTCATCTCCAATCTCATTCTCACTTCCGTTATCCATCTTTTTCCTCTATACTTTAGCACAAAAAACAAAAAAAATTTTAAAAACTAAAATTGAAATTGTTATCAAACGGCCCAAAGATTTAATTTTATCTCTTGATATGGGAAATCTGCCCAGAGACTATTCTAATTAACTTTGAATTTTACTATATAGATATTTTTCCCTCACGCACCCTTTAAATAAATAATACTAAATATCTTGGTTCTCAAGCACACAGAAAAGGAGGGGGCCGCTTGACATCTTCATTATGATTTGACCAACCGCGAAAGGGATGTATATACGCACACTCTTGGTGGAAGTGCCCCGAATTCCATGTACTTTCGTATACCAGTCCAAATGGGAATGAATTTCGAGTTGAATTTTTATGGAAACAGCGTCCCTGCCACCTCAACTTTATGCGAATGTTGTCTTCTTAAATAACATGCAAATATGTTATGTTTTTTCTTTTGTCAAATATTAAACATTTGATTAAGTGAACTCTTATTTGAATGCATAATAAGTACCATGATCTAGTATGCCAATATCTCTCAATTGAACATATATTACTCTTTAGTTTCTAATTTATTTTATACCTACTCTATTACAACTGCTGTCCCTTCATTTAAATGAATCCCGTATTTAGTTGCAAAGGACTCACTAGTGCAGTAGTTTGGAGCAATTGTTCCCCCAGACAAGGTCCTAGTGGGTTCGAGTCCTAGCATATTCGTGTAGCGTGTGTGAGTTTAGTATATTATCGTCTTTCTTAGTAGGAAATGTCCTAAAAATAACAAGTTATGAAGACAAAGTATGTGTCTTCCTGCTGAAGAGAAACTAGATATACAATGTAACAAGGAAATAAATACAGACTTAGATATACAATGAAAGGTAGGAAGCACAGTCAACAACATAGTTATAACAATTGGATAAGATAACACTAGGAAATTAAAATATAATGGAAAAGAGAACCCACCAGCAACTGAAATTCATTTTCTAGTTGACTAGAATCATCTTCAGAGAGAGCAGAAGTCAAAATCTGTCATTTTATCATTATAGCTCACTATACCACTTGACTACCTATATACATATCTGGTAGTGGGGGAAGCACGTTCTCCTTGAAGCTCTCTTAGTCTTAGGCAAATATATTATATATACAGTGGCGCATAGTTAAGGCGAGTCTTGTAAATAACCAGATGGCTATAACAAAGGTTTCCCTCTGTGTAAAAGACTTCTCAGTTTGGCTGAAACACCTCCAAACATGGAACAACATTGGCATTGGGTGATTCATCTGAACGTTGTATGTCTCGGCTTGCATACACCATGTAATGCATGTATGGCACACAGGTGAAGCCAGGCAAAGGAAGATTAGTATACATATAGCCAGGCATGCAACAAACACAAGGTACATATACAAGAAGGCCAACAATATACGACAGTGGCTTCGGAAAAGGCTCAAAATTACGTACTAATACATTCGTACTCTGATCAGAAATCATTACTATATATTTCTAGTATGCTTAATTTGTTCAGATGGAATTTCATGCACTCTAGCTATCAGCGATCTCTCTTTAAAGAAGTCTGAGAGATAGAAAATTTCCAGGTATCGTATGAAGTTCATGAGGCCGGCCGTCTTTTGTGTGTTATCCACTATTTGAGCCCTCTTCTTTAGGTTTTCGGATACTGGGTTTCCTCTGCAAGTATGAATCTGATTTTATTTGTTTGATCAATTTGGATTGTGTTTTTGGGTTTTCAATTTTTGCTTTCTTTGCTTTATTTTATGCATTACTTGATAATTTTTTTTATTTAGTAGTGTTTTAAGTTAATTTTTTTTTTTTTTTTTTTTTTTTTTTTTTTTTTTTTTTTTTTTGTTTATTTTTATCTGTTTTTGTTATTTGTCTTTTTGGTGTGATGTATTTTTTATGATTTATGATCATGGGCTCAAATGGGCAAAATGCTTAACAACTTTCTCAAATGGAAAATGCTTAAAATTTCATCTCTTTTCTGCCAAGTTTTCTTTTTTGGTTTCATTTAAAAAGTGAGAAATTACAAGGAGTGGTTGCAATTAAAACAAGAAAAGAAGAAGAGCCCATTAAGTTGGGATTGAAAGAAACACAGGCATATAGTTCTAGGAGAAGGCCCAATAGAAACTAGAAGTTCAAGTTTCATTAGTTTAACAGAAATTAGTTTTGAGTTTGTCTGATAAAAATAAATATTTACCCTCCAAATAAATTTGACACATTTTTTTTTGGAGGATCTTTCGTATTGAGAGGGGCGATAGTATACTAAACTCACACACATTACACAGATGTTAGGACTCGAACTCAAGCCCTTACCCAGGGGAGCAATTCACTCCAAATCACTGCACTAGTGAGTCCCTTGTACCAATTTTCTTTTTAAAAAGGAAGCCCTATACAATATTTTTTAAAATGTTAAAAAAATACAATAAATTTCATGTGAAGTAAAAAAAAACTATATATTTTGATATTAATTTTAACAAGTTTGTTAAAGGAAAAAGAACTATTTACCAGAAAATATTACGTAGGAAAAAAAAAGATCTGAAAGAACTGATTTTTTGGGTCTGGAGAAAGAAATGAATCAAATCCTAAACAGAAAAGTGAATCATAAAAGTATTTTAATGACAGTAAATTTAAATAAACGAAATATTTTCAATAGAGGAACTCGAACAATGGTTTGAGCATGCATGCTAACTATCTTGCTTCCAAATTTCGAAGATTACATGCATGATAAAAGCCTTGATGTACGTTCCATCAACTATATACACCAATAATTAGTTAATTAGTAGTACCCTTTTGAATGCTATAGCAATCCATACAGCTAACTAAAGGAAATTAATTCCTTAATTAATGACAGAAAATTCCTTAATCAAAGTAAGTTATTCCTAATTACAAACACACACCATGAGCACGTAAATCTCTAAAATTGCTGCACGTAAATCTCTAAAATTAATAATCAATCAACATTAGGGTTTATGGACTTTCCTTAGGCTCAATCTAATTACAAACACACACACACACACCATGGGCTCAATCTCATGCAATATGTCCAATCCTATAAATAGGGGCAATGTGTGCAGAACCAAATCAACCACACACAATTTCAAGTAGATTTTGGGTGAGAAGGAGAGAGTCTGTGAGATTAATTTGAGCCAGTAGCTATGGACATGAAGGGAAGTAATTTAGCAGTTGTGGTTATGATGTTCATGATGGTTTGCGTTGCTATGGGCCAATCTGTTGACCCTAACTTTGTTGATTATTATTCGCTTGCCGATGATGTCACACCTTTCGAAAACTCTCCTCATGTCGATAAAATTCCACCTCCTCATCAAAACCCTAGACCTGTAATCCCACCTTTTGAAACCGTATCACCACCTATGATCAGAATCCCTGTTGTCCCAAAATCACCTCCTCCCACTTCTCATCATGTTCCTCCAAAACACAACCCATGTCTGAGAAAATGCCACAGAAAATGCAACGACAATGACAAGTTGGTAGTTAGAAAAGCTTGCTTTGAGGCCTGCCCTGCCGAATGCAAGATTGAAGCTACAATGTCTCTCAAAAAGTGTATAATTGCCTGCGTAAAAGCCATACCCACATATCCTACCCCTGCTATTGGTATGTATATATCTTTAGTCTTTTTTCTTGTTGGGTTTTATCTTTTTTTATGGTTTTGGATTGTTTATCTAATTGCAGTGTTTTATTTTTCCATTTTTATGTGACAGTTACTGAAAATAACTTCAAGGGCCAATTGGATTTCTGCTATAAGAGGTGCAGCTCAAGAATGAAGATCAATAATTAGATATAATTTTCATCTCCATAAGGGAAAATATTATTAATGGATTGAATAATTGTATTAGATATTACTACTCATGGAACGGTATTGAATTGAATAAGAATTCTCTTTTTGAGACATTTCAGCACTTCCTTTTTTGTTTACTTATCCTTCTGAATGCACTAGTGTGGCAAAGACTTCCTAATCCATCATCTCCTTTTGTCCAACTTTTCCCACAATATATTCTTGAAAAAAGTTACAATAATTAGACCATATTACCAAATAAATTAGCCCTTAATTTATTTAACTAATCTTTTCAAATTGAAAAGAGTGGTAAGATGCAAGATCTACTGGTTCTAGGCAGC